AATGACGAAGCACGAATGACGAATGACGAACGCAAGCGGGGAACAGCGTCCATACGACCTGGAAGAACGAACCGCGAAGTTCGGCGAAGCGGCTATCGACTTTGCAATGTCGCTCAAGCGGTCTCCAGTTGCCTCACCTCTGATCTCTCAGTTCGTTCGTTCAGCTACGAGTGTTGGCGCCAATTATTGCGAAGCGGACGATGCTGAATCGAAGAAAGACTTCAGGCACAAGATTGCAATTAGTCGCAAAGAAGCCCGTGAAACCAAGCATTGGCTGAGGATGATTGCGAGGGCGTGTCCTGAGTCGAAAGAGAATGCTCGCCATCTATGGCAAGAGACGAAAGAACTTCACCTGATCCTGTCAAAAATACTCCGCAACACGAAGCCCAACTGACCTGATTCTTGGCGGCCCGAGCATCGCTTGCGTTCGTCATTCGTCATTCGTCATTCGTGCTTCGTCATTTCTGTATGAGCCACCAAAGCGAACTAATCGCCACCGACATCGACGCCTACCTCAAGCAGCACGAGCACAAGGAGCTTCTGCGCTTCTTGACGTGCGGTTCGGTCGATGACGGCAAGAGCACCCTCATTGGGATGCTGCTCTACGAGTCGAAGATGATCTATGAGGATCAGCTCGCCGCGATCGAGCAGGCCTCCGTGACGCACGGCACCACCGGCGGAAAGTTCGACCCGGCGCTGCTCACCGACGGCCTCAAGGCCGAGCGTGAGCAGGGCATTACGATCGACGTGGCGTATCGCTACTTCTCGACGGCCAAGCGCAAGTTCATCATCGCGGACACGCCGGGGCACGAGCAGTACACCCGCAACATGGCGACCGGCGCCAGCACGTGCGACTTGGCGATCATCCTCGTCGACGCCCGGCCGGGGCACGGCGTGATTACGCAGACGCGGCGGCACTCGTTCATCGTGTCGCTCTTGGGGATCAAGCACGTGCTGATCGCCGTCAACAAGATGGACCTCGTCGATTGGTCCGAGGAACGCTTCGAAGAGATCAAGCGCGACTACCGCGAGTTCGCCACCCGGCTCGACATGCCGGACCAGCACTTCATCCCGATCAGCGCGCTCAACGGCGACAACCTGATCGAGCGCAGCCCGAACTCGCCGTGGTACGAGGGCTCGACCCTGATGCACCACCTCGAGAACGTCCACATCGCCAGCGACCGCAACCTGATCGACTTCCGCCTGCCGGTGCAGTACGTCAACCGCCCGAACCTCGACTTCCGCGGCTTCTGCGGAACGCTCGCGTCGGGCAAGGTCCGCGTTGGCGATGAGGTGATGGCGCTCCCCTCGAAGCGAAAGAGCCGCATCGAGCGGATTGTCACGTTCGACGGCGACCTCGAAGAAGCGTTCTGCCCGCAAGCGGTCACCGTCACGCTCGAGGACGAGATCGATGTCTCGCGCGGCGACATGCTCGTGCGGCCCGACAACCTGCCGACGGTCGCCGACAAGTTCGACGCGACCGTGGTCTGGATGTCGGACGACGCCCTGCTCCCGGGTAAGCAGTACCTCATCAAGCAAGGGACGCAGACCACGCCGGGCCGCGTCAGCACGCTGCGTTACCGCATCGACGTCAACACGCTCCACCGCGAGCCGACGCCGACGCTCGGACTCAACGAGATCGGCCGCTGCCGCTTCGAGCTCGAACGGCCGATCGCGATGGACGGCTACCGCGCCAACCGCGCGACCGGCGCGTTCATCATCATCGACCGGATGACGAACATCACGGTCGGAGCGGGCATGATCCTCGACCGCACCGCGGCGACCGACAAGCAGGAGGTGTGGGACACCGAAGCGGCCGAGGGCCTCGTCGCCGCGACGAGCGCCGTCACCGACGAGGAACGCGCCGCGCGTTACGGCCAGAAGCCGGCGACGGTGCTGCTCACCGGCCCGCCCGCCTCGGGCAAGTCGCCGATCGCCGCGGCGGTCGAGCGCCTGCTCTTCGAGCAGGGCCGCGCCGTCGTGGCGATCGACGGCCAGACGCTCCGTCGCGGCCTGTCGCGCGACCTGGGCTTCACGCTCGCCGACCGCAGCGAGAACGTCCGCCGCGTCGCCGAGGTCGCCAAGACGATCAACGACGCCGGCCTGATCACGATCGCCGCGCTAGTCGCCCCGCAAGAAGAGGTCCGTCAGAAGGCGGCCGAGGTCGTCGGCGCTGATCGCTTCCTGGTGGTCCACGTCGACGCCCCCGAGTCGTGGCGCCGCGAGCACGACGACCAAGGCGTCTACGCGAAGGCCGACAGCGGCGAGATCACGAACCTCGCCGGCGTATCGCTCGACTACGAGCCGCCCACAAAGCCCGACCTGGTGGTGAAGCCCGCGGACAAGTCGATTGAGGAATGCGCCGCGGCGGTGGTGAAGCTGCTGAGCGATCGCGGGATTATTTGAAGTAGTAGGGTCCGCTGTGCGGACCGTTCGTTGGATTCAAACCTTCCGATCGCTTCACAACGCAAGAGGTCAGGGAGCCGGAACGCGTTAGCGCCCGGAGTCGCAGCGCGTACTCGCTCGCCAGTCGCGTGCCCACTTCAACCCCGGGCGCTGACGCGTTCCGACTCCCTGACTACCTGTTCGCTTTCCTAAACGTGGGGCGACATGATGGCTTCAGCGCTCAAGCGTGCGGTCACCCTCGTCGAACTCCTCGTTGTGCTGGCGATCATCGGCGCGCTGCTCGCCTTGCTCTTCCCCGCGGTCCAGGGGGCTCGCCACCAGGCGCGACTGGGCGTCTGCAAGAACCACATCCGGCAGATCGACATCGCCGTTCGTAGTTGCTGGAGCGCTCAACAGAAGCCGCCGGACCCGCTCAGCGATTGGCCCGTGGCGATCTTGCCCTGGATCGAAGAGCAACCGCTCGCCGACCGGATGAAGTCGACGCCGCGCGATGTGTGGTCGCCCGAGGCGTGGCCCCTGCTACTGCGATGTCCCTTTCAACCGGAGGAAGCCGGCGACCAGCGTCACTACGCTTGGATCGTCACCTCACCCCCTAAGCCGGGCGACGACTGGCCTTTCCCGACCTTCCGTGACACCGAGCGAATCGATCCGGCAGCGCCGGCTCGACCGTGGTTCGACGGCGCGGTGTTGCTCGTGAACGAAGCTCGGCTCATCAACGATAACGGGCGTGGGCCGCATCCGGGTGGAACGGTTCACGAGGCGCGGAACGGCGGCGAAACCAGCATCGTGGCTCCTTAGCCCGCCCAACGCGATGACGCCATCAATTAACCACGGATGACACGGATTGCTCGGATCGAGGTGGCGCTGACTCATCCGTGATATCCGTGTCATCCGTGGTTCTCAATCGCAACTCCGGGCGCTGACGCGTTCCGGCTCCATTTCTAATCGGGGGTGTGCGTAGCGAGGTGCGTGCGGTCGCTCACGACCCGATTCGGCGGTGGCGTAGCTTCTCGCAGAACCACCACATCGTGTGGCCCCAGAGGATCCCGCCGAGCGGGAACAGCAGCAGCGACGAAGCCAGTGTCAGTGGGACGTTG